AAAGTATAATTCTATTGGGCTTAAAATTAGTAAACATCAGTAGTACTTAGTTTCACATTGTGAGAGGGTAATGATTTTTGGACATTACTTACCTTATCTGGATTGAACAAGTGTCTTTGAAATGAAAGCTTCCATATCTCATTCCACATTACCTGAGCCATCTTGATCCCATCTTCAGAAGTCCAGATTTTGAGCTCAGTTATTCCAGTGGAAATCCAGAGGATTGCCACCAATTTCAATGGACTTGCTCCAGATTTACACTAGTGTAAGTGAGAGGAAAAATTGCTGCATGGTTTTCATATCATCAGAGTTAGCCAGCCACACTTATCACACCAGTGCAGCACCCTTATGATAGAAAACAAAAAGGTTTTACAGCAGTATCTTATATCATCAGTCAGTGGAAATTAATTTGAAAATACATTTGAAAACATTTCAGGACTTCAGGACTTTTCAATTTATTCAGAGCTAGTTTGTTGTTTCAAACAACTGTCAAAGATACTATTACAAAATAATGCAAGCCCCATAGCTTATTTTACACAATACTAAAAGATGAACTTGTGCATGAAGACATGGTGGTCAAATATCCAAGCATAGACATTGCCCATGATCACATTTCAAATGCACAAGGACCTAAATTCCACTTCTAGGAAGGCCCATGACTATGTGGTTTATACAAATAACAGGTTAAATACTTCATTTAGAGCTACAGTTTCCCTTGACACCTGGAACCATTCTGGGCAAAAACTCAGACCATGGCAGATGGAGGGAGAGCACAAGAGTTGGGCTGCAGCTGAAGTATCCAGAAGGAATTCTGGCAGAGTCACCAGGTGTTTTCCTGATTGTTCCTGGGCTGTGTACATTGGTGTTACAGCTATACCGGGTGTGAAGTGTTTTTTCCCACCCCAAAACTGGCTCACTCTGCTTGCTAGTAGCTGGGGGATTGAAGGGCATGACTCCACCATTCTCTCCCTCTTATTACAATGATAATCTATTTAAGTAACTAATCCACAGAGATTTGGAACTATCCAGGGGATCTTAGAAAACATGGCCATATTTATTTACATCAACTAGTGCTTTTAAGAAACAGAAGTCCAAACACAGACTCCTCACCCAATCTTTTCCTCAATGAAGTCAGTAGCAAATTTTCTATTAGCTTCAATAGGAGCAAAACTAAGTGTAAACTTGCCTTTTGTAAAATATAGTTACAGTGTTGTCAACTCTCATGATCGTATCTTCAGACTCATGCTATTTGGTGTTTTTCTTAAAGTTTCAACTACTAGTATTAGGGCTTGTCTACAGGGGGACACTAAGGGCTTGTCTACAAGAAAAATTAGACTGTGGCAAGCTGAGGTGTGACTCTACCCTCTCTCTAGCCAGCTGTGGTCCAGTTGTCCATATGCATCCTGCTGATGCAGGTTAACAGTTTGTTAATGTGCTTTGAGCTAGTCCCATTTCAAAGAGGACTAGCTCAAAGCACACTAACAAACTGTTAACACACATCAGCATGGTGTATTGGGATAGTTAGTCCACGGCAGGCTAGTGTGGGGGTAGATTCACACCCCAGCTTGCCATGATCTACTTGTTCTATTGATAAGCCCATAGGAAAATTAATTGGAAATAACTAAAAAAGTGATTCACTTTGGAAGTGAATTAAGATAAACTTAATTAAGGCCACTTTAATTTTGCCTGAGACTGTCCACACAGAGGTTTATTGCAATTTAATAACTAATCCACTTTAAATGCACATCTTTAGTTAATTTGGAATAACTTTCCTGAGTGTCCCTGTGTAGAGAAACTGTTAGATATTACCTGAGAATCCCAATTTCCATTTTTTAAAACCAAGTACATTTCTCATCCTCAGAGCTGCAGAGAAAAGCTTGAAAACCTGAACCCTACATGCCCCAACCCCAGAAAGCAAATAAAAAGAAGTTAAATTTATTATTTTTTAAATCTCATGAATTTAAGCCAATTTCACGGGGCTTGGGGGGCCTGACTCATGATTTTTGGATGCTTGGGATTGCTGGTGCTGTATTTATACTGTATGCTGACATCAGTGTACATTTGCAGCTACTTCATTGACTCTAAAATTATATCAGTGTAATAGAAAGTAGAATTTAACTCAACAGTATGTCTTGTTCCATTTACTGTTCAAATAATGGGAGGTAGACAATGGGTGAACAAATAACAATGAAACATATAGGGTTAGATCTTCAGATGGGGTAAAATATCACAGTCTCAATAACTTCAACAGAGCTACAATGACTTACACAAGTTGAGGATCTGGCCCATATTGAATATACGCAGAAGCATAATTTTTGTTTAATTTTAACATTGAAAAATATGGTTTAGTCAACACACTCTCTGTAACAACTTCATTTGCTGAGATGTTATGCTTGTCAGAATGTCATTAAACTGAGAGGGCCTCTCTTGTTTGGACAATCATACAAATGATGGCAGGCACATTTTATAGCACAGCTAACCATTTGTTTGCATTCATAAATCCAGCAGTCATATGCACTTGCAATTATTTTGGGGGCAGGGAGGAACTGGAGGATGAGATGAGCCATGATGAACACCGAGGGCCTGGGGGAAGATCTTCAGCTGGTATAAATTTGTCATAGATCCACTGAAGTCAATGGGGCTATGATGATTTACAGCAGTTGTGGCTCTGTCCCGTAATATTAGGAATGCAGATTCAGCTGCCAACTCCACCTCTGTACTTAATACATGCACTTATCCTTGAATTGTATCCACACAGGGTGAACAGATAATACTCTCTGTTTACATGCTTTGAAGGTGTGTGACTTACAACATATTGATCAGAATACAATTGACGTATATAATGGCCCAGACAACATATTTATAGTCATACTATGACAAATTAATTTTTACACCATTCTCAAAACTCCTGTGCTATTTTGTCTTCGTTTAAACTACTATTTCCAGTTACCATATGACATTAACCTGTAGTGTCTGATCATAGCTCCACTGAAGTCAACAAAAGTTTTCCCATTGATGTGAAGGAGCAGGAAGATTAGGTCCTCAGTAGGCCTCAATTTACCATTTTTAACATTATATTTAATTGTTTTTCAGTAGATAAAATATAGTAAACATTCTAAATAAACTTTATTTTTTCATATATGCATGAATTATCAGGGGCTATTTGGTTACTACTTAAAACAACGAAGGTTGAGTTAGTTGCACATTAACATTTTGGAAGTTAGTCATCTATCAATCCAAGGTGATTTAAAACACATTTTTTCCCTCCAAACTTATTTAATCAGTTAATATTTAGTATTCTTACCCTACACGATGCCTTTAAATCAAGTTTCCACTGAATCTGCCAATATGAAATCAATTATGGCAACAGCATTAAAAAAAACCAAGACAAAAAAGAACCTCATGTTCTGCTTGTGGTTAATTCATTGATTCTTCTGTATAATTCTATTGAACCCTTTATCAAATGCAGCTAATTTCTGGCTTGCATACAAATACAGCAAAGTGCCAGAACTAAATCAAATCAGAAAGCTTAAGAGAGAGAAACAACTTCAGCAGTGTGTGTGTTTCAAACAGTCAGATTTCTCTGAAGACCTCAGAGGGACATCTGACTCACAGATTGTTATCATTTCAAGAGCAAAAGAGGTATAACACTATTTGAAGAAAGTCCCTTAGTTTATTGAATATATATATATAAAAAGCCAAAACAATTGCTGCAATTGACAAGCTAGCTGAATGAACGATAACAAAACCTCAGCAGGGAAATGACCATTAATTTAATTTATGTGGGAGCATGTTTTCGCAATAATGACCAAATTATCTAATGTTCGCTTACATTTAAAAGCAATAGTCCATAACAAATCATTACTAGAAAAGGAGAGGTGAGGGACAGGGGAAAGGCCAATACTTTGAATTAATACCATAGAAGAAAACAAGTTACTAAAGAACCACTATGATGTTTTACAGCTTCCTAACAATTCCAGTTCTATTTTGTCTCTTCAGAATATTTCACTGAAACTCGCAAGAGAAATCCCAGCAATTTCTATGTAGTGGTGTTTAAAGCTGTAACATGTTTATTTGTTAGGCTTCTTTTCACCCTGTTTTTATTGCATATCAATATTTATTTGAGTTCAGTTAACCAAAAATATACAGTAAGAATCCATTTTTGAATACATTTAGTAACAACACCACTAACCCTGATGCTGTCCTATAGAAGAGTATGTTTATCTATCTTAATTCCATGCTCCATAAATCTTCACTGGATACAGTATACAATATGTGGCCTACTGAGATACTATTAAGCAAAATGTGTTTCAATTTGCTTTCTTTCCCTATGCAATGTCAGTACTGCCTTCTCTGTGCGTAAACTACGCATCCAAGACTAGATATGAAGTAATATATGTCTATAATTTTAATAGAAAATGAATGGGGAAAAGAGGCATTTATTCCATAGTTTTTTCCTCAAAATAATCAAATATTTTTTCTTTAAATGTCTGAAAACATATTTACAAAAATGGGAAAGCAGTAAATACAGGCTTTTCATATTTTTGCTGTACTTCCAAATACTGACTAATATCCTAATTGCATTGGAAATCTGCTCCAATGAACAATACAAAAAATAAAATATCACACTCCATTTGGTTAATCATTGTCTATTTTGAAAAAAAAAACAACCAAATATATCTTTTAAAAATGACAAAATTAAATTCCATAATGCATAACCATCAAAAATCCTCCAAAATGTTTCTTACATTTGTGAGTATGTTTCAGCTTTAAAAACACTTTGTGGCCTTCGTTCATGTTATAAAAAGTGGGACATCCTCTTACTTTCAGAAAACTAGCTGCTGAACTGTAATTATAAAGTAGCAACTAAAATTGTATTCACAGTATCTGCATCATGTGAATTTTTGAACAGGAAAATGTTATAAAATTTGCATTGCTGCCTTGATCTTTCACATTTGTGGTATTATTGGCTGACAGAAAAGAAAAAGTATACTGTCATGCTTGGTTTACCTCAATCATTTATTTCTGAACTAATAAAAGTAAACAATTACCAGATACTGTATATAGAGATATATAGATATAGATATGGCCACCATTAAATTATAGTAGAAAATTATTTTGAGTTTGATAAAGTTAAGAAAAGCACATGAAATCATATTTTGTGTATATCTTGTTTTATGGCCATTCATGGTTTTGTTTGTTTTGTTTTGTTTCATTAACATAGCAAAAAACAATCTTCCTATTAAACAATAATTATCAGATGGCAGACAATTCTTTTTATTGGTTTACATTGGCAGGTCACAGTCTAAAAGCACAACCACATCAGGCAGAAATTGCACATAGACCATCCTGGATTTTGAAGACTTCAATCTTTATGCTTCTACCAAAAATGCTCCTTTTAAAACTGGGGATGATAATCTATATTATATTAATTGTTAGTGTATATTTTTTATTAGTTTATTAGCTAAAGAAAATGACTGAAACTGCAGTGGTTTTTGTTGTTTTGTTTTCAGTGTCACTTTTGAAGTCTATTTGATGTTCTTAAACACACTTTGAAGGGTAACTTTCTAGTAACATCATTTTATGAAAGTTTAATCACCCTCACAGTGTGAACCAGGTGAGTTTCATTTCATGGAATACTGCATATTTATCTGTTCCTTGCCTTTTCTAAATTTGATGTATGTATTTTTAAATCTTACTTCTGGCTGCAAAATTATGGCAAGTTAGTGGGTAGTGGTAATTAATGTAACACTGCGACATTATACATTCACAGTGTCATGATTTTTATAAGGAACTGTTTTAGGTAGGATTGGCCTATAAATATGCAGTTGTATTATCTGTAGAAGGCATATCCATGTCTTCAAAAACCAGACTTGTCTAAGAAATGACTCTTTATTTGAGACAGTTACCATTACTTCATTAAAAAATGACAAAACAGCAATAAACATTTTAGCTCTTTAATGAGCAAAGATCAGATCTCTTAGCATTGGAATAATATTTGTTATCCAGATTATCTTTATTTCACTCAGTGACCAGTAATATGGCCAAGAAGTACAAAGTATTTTTTCATCAAGTAGTATACAATTTTTTTGTGTGTGTAATAAGCTTTCATTCTTGAAAAAGAGTAACTGAAAAGAAATGTTTCTGTTACTGCAGTTAGTTTGTCAGAGAGAGTTCTTTGCATTATCTTACAAACTATCAAAATTGCTAGTAATTTGAAAAAATGTAAAAAAAAATCACATAACTTTAGTCTAATAGAAATATAGTACAGGTAAGAGAAAGTATTTATCAGGGATGTGCTCTTAAGTCCATCTCATTTTTTTATATAAATGTACATCTGATTACATATACAAACATTTTGAAAGGACCGTGATATGCCGTTTCTGGAAAACAACAGGGGAATGAAGAGTTTCTTGTGATTTTAGACCATTCATTTAAAATCACACAAACAAATGTAAGATTCAGGTTTAAAAATTTCCATTTGTTGGCTCTCTCCATCGTTATGGATCTTCTCTATCTACATTTGTACTCTATAGAGATCTCATCCAGTGAATTCACTTGAATGGCAAGGATAATGTATAGCAAAAAGGGAAATAACTTTACATTAAAATATTAGCAGTAAACTTTGTCACATGCACCATGAGTTAAAACAATAACAGAGCTGTAATCAGAGTGATAATGTTGGGGCATCTTTATACTGCAAAAATATCCTTGCAATGAAATCTTTGGACACACTTTATCTTACCAATATGAACTAAATATATTGTAACTAAACCACAGCAAATTATAAATCCTTCATCAAAGAGGTTCCATTAAGGTTATAGTTCTATAAATTATTTAGGTGGAAACGAAAGAGAACATTAAAAACACAAAAAGATATTTTTCCCTGTGGGATTCACTCAGGGAGTATTCACCCCTATATACTGAGAATACCATCAAATACCTTTAAGAACTACTGTAATTCCTTCTATTACTGAAGCTACTGTGAATTATTTTACTGTAATTACTTTTGCCCCTTTAAAAAAATCTTCTTTAGGTTGTGCCAATTGATGGAGGAAGCTTCTATTAAAAACTCCAATGGGATGAGAAGAATTTTAATTACGGCTTAATCAGCAGCACAGCCACCAAGCATATAAATTATCATGCACATCGTGCTAAAAATATCCAGTTTCCTTTATTCCCACAACTTTTATACTGACAGCACTTATGTGATAATGTTGTACCTGCCAGGCTTTAAAACTTCTTTGTTTGACTGGCAGATTTCAGCATGAGCCCCCTACTAAGGCCTTAACAGCATTGGTGCTTTGTGTACTTATCCAAATATGTAAATATGGACTACACAATAAAACAGTTCCAAATAAAAATTGGTGAAAATTATCTGACATTCCATTAGTGTGTCCCTTGTGCATATTTATAGATTTTTTTTTTAAAATTTCAGTCAGAGTTCTTTTCTGTTTGTGTTGCACATGCCTAATTCCATTATGTAACTTAAATCTTCAAAAATTAACAGTTGAATGTGAATGAAAAAGTATCATTCAGGACAATTGCTTCAAGCAATTGCAAAGTTGTTTTTTTTAAGTTCATTTGTATATATGTACAATTCATTTTTTTTCAAAACCCCCAAAGTTCTTGATATGTATATTCACATAATATTCCTCTATATTTAAATAGTAAGAGTCTTGTAGGTTGAAAGCCAAGTAATCTTCAGTAATGTCACCTACTGTAATCCATCAAAAAAAATAAAGTTTGTTTCATCTTGTCTGGCTATACCCTGGTTGTTGAATGTGAATGGGGGTGGGGGTGGGGATGGGGCAGAGTATTATTCTGTCCTCCAGTAAAGGTATTGAATGTGTGTAGGGGCTGAATCCCTGGTATAGTGTTGGGAATCATTGTAATGGTGTTGGGTGTCATTAAGGGAATATCATCAGGAGACCTTCTCATAGCTAGTGTGTAGTCTGGGGGACAGGCGGTCCGAAGAACCACCTCATGTGGATGGATGGATTCACATTCATGATCCAAGTCAGTGTGCTTCATTTGGAGGGACATTATCTCCTCTTCTTGTGCATGGGCAAGATCATTGGTAGTAGTACGCTGTGGGCTACATCTCCTGTGAACATCATGTCTCCTCTTGTCCTTTTTGTAGTACAATGCTGCAAAGGCCAAAATGTTTAGGAATAGCAAAGATGCCCCAACTGCAATAGTAACGCTCAACTCTGTGGAATAGTCCCTTTGATCCACTGAAAAGGGACTTGGTTGTTGTTTGGGATCATCTTGTTTGGCTGTAGGAAAAGCTGAAGTAACAGGTACAGAATTTTTCCTTGTTGGTCTGAAAGTAATATCTGTTGATGGCACTTTAGTTGTGGTCGAGGTATACTGTGAAATGTCGTTAAGATTGTGCAGATGAGGTACCAGTTCCAGCCACAGGTTCACTTTATTGGCCCTGTAATGTTCCTTCACTCGTGGTTTTAATCCAATGTGAAGATACAGTTGGTCTTTCTGAGAGTATCTGGTCCATGCTACTTCCTCAAAACGATTGGGTTTAGTATGAATGAATTTTGTATCTTGTGGGACTGGTTGATTTGGGTCACTAGAATAAAAAAAAAGCTGAGATGTAAAGCCTGCATTTCAGAAGCAATTATAAAATTAAGATTTGATCCTTCATTTTAACATTTATTTGGGGGAAGGAGGGGAAGGGCAGTGAATGTAGTTTTGATCGAATTGGAGGCCTAATAGCAGTTAGAGCCAACACAATGCAAGTGGACACTGCAAGCTTCCCCAATGCCCTTTGTACCCCAACCCCAATCAGCATCCTAGTCCTTTTCTCTCGAGGAAAAATTGTCAACTGTATTACACTTTGGTACTAGTGATGTGGATTAATGCCTACTAGAGACTAGGATAAGGGGTCACAAACCTTATTTTTATTTGTAACTTAAATCACACCTCAGGTCTTCAGAGGTGAAAGGGCAGTGTGTTAACTTAATATAGCACACATTCACTGAAAGCCAAACTGAGCGCGGAGAAGTGGTACAAGGTGAGTCCTTGGCACCTTTGCTAGTCCATGTATCTCACATTCATAAGTGCCTATTCATTTGAATAAGTGGACATAATTTTAAGACCAACCTTCCATGTGCTGTGATGTTGGTGGCATTTCACGTTCTATGCAATCAAAATACCACCACTACGGGAGTACAGTCCAATATTGTGGTTTGTTAAATGATGATCTGTTTTTAATGATGTATACTTTATAACTGCTATATGTGATCTCAGTATGTTCCTTATTCACTATAGAACATGTTACAATTTCTTACACAGTGGCCAGACTTAAAAAATTGAAAGTGTTACCAGTTCCAACAGAATTCCCCATTTTAAGTACAGAGAAATCTCTCTCAAAGCATCATAATCTTACAAAGCAGAATACACTTTTTAAGGCCAACTATGGTAATATGAGAAAGCTAAATATTAGATTGAAAAAGATAAAAATATCAGAGAAGCTGCTTTCTGCAGCCCTTCTTTTTTTATGTACAAAGAATTTATCACACTGTTATGTATAGAATAGTCACATGGACAGTTTCCCCATGTGTCAACAGAATGTTCAATTTTTAATTGAACTGAAAGATATTAAAAACATATAACTCTCAACCTAATTCCGCAACCCTTATTCACGTAAATACGCCTTCCTGGCCCAAGTATTTCCTACAGAAGTCCATAGGAAAGGATTGCTGGATCAAGTCCTCAATTTATAGATGAGATTACTCTCTATCTAGTACTCACCCAGTTTTTGCAAAGTTAGTCCAGTATGTCATCACCACTGCGCTTAGCATAACATCGTTTTTGGAGAAATTACAGGGAAATAATTCAGTAGGACCAATCATAGGGATTCCCAGTACATAAGGAACCTCATCCCCATGGGCTGCATCTGCCCAAGCAGGTACCTGATCTGTTTGGCAATGATGGTAGAAGGCATAGAAGTATGTAGGCGATCCAAAATTCGAGTGAAGATCTGCTGTAGCCACTGCTGGTGCAACCCACTGGTGATCAGTAAACAAAGCTAGCAAAGTTTTCCTTCTTGTCTCCGGATTGTGTCGGTCTGCCCAGTCAGTATACATAAATTTAATAGTTTCTCTCAATATATCTTTGCCTTCAGGGTATCCATATAAATTATCAACAAAATTGGAAACAGCAAAGTCAAAATCACTAGCTGATATGCCATCTTCGCTATCAACTATATTTTCAACAAATTTTAAACCTTCCCCTTGGTTAACTCCCAACATGATGTCATAGTTGAGGAATTCTCCTTGTTCCATCAATATCTGAGGATCATCTGGTATCACATCACCATCAATTACTGGTCCAAAGGCTATGTGGTATCGTGCTGGTTGAATGTCCTGGTCCACAAGTTCTCTATAAGGCTTCTTTTGTAGACACTCTACCAATTCTACAGTGTCTGACATGTTGCAACCAACTTTTGTAGCCAACATCCTGGCATATTTTGCAGGTTGGAAACTAACTGCCCAGCTGGAGAGAGCTGTTCCACTTTGAGCTATTGCTCTTTGAAAAAGTCCTGTGGGGGAAAAAATATTTTAAAAGTACTGAGGTGACCTTTATAAGCATGTAGCTGTTTAATGTTTAGATTAGGTTTGTGGGACAATAGGAAATCTTTTACCATTTTTTAAAAAATTACTAATAAATAAATGCAATACAGAAGGTAAACTCTGCTTGTTGCTGTATCCACATCTAACGTGTACAAAAAAATGCACATATGTATATAAATCCTAGACCAATAGATAAGTAAAACTCATGCAAATACCAACTTATAGCAACTGAGGACCTATACCTGAGTAACTCAGGAAGCCGAAAGAGTGGGAGAAATTGTCTGATGCCATATCTTGTTCAAGATAACCCTGTTTGCTTTGAAAAACCCATAATACTAACATTATTTTATCAGGTTGGAGGAAAAGTGAATTATACCCTGCATTTGACTGATTTCTTAGATACTGTTCAAGTTATCAGCAGCTTGCATGTGTATGACTATGTTTTAAATTGAAGTCTGAATAGGACCTAATAGACTGTTTTTATAGATTCTGTTTAGGATTGAACTTGGCTTGAGATGTACAGGTCTTCTCAATTGGGTATTATAACAAATTTTATATTCTGAAGCCATACACAGTGCTGGGCAGCATTCCTAACTCATTTATCTAAGAGGCAAGATCCTTTCTTGTAAAAGGTCCTGTTTTTAATTAAGGTTTATGGTAATCACATTTAAATAAAAAAGGAAAATGATGTTTTATACTGAATATCCTAAAATATTGCTTTGTGACTTAGAATTTAAACATTTACTCAAGTTTTCATTTATGAGAGATGGGGTGGATGGGGCAGATTCTGCTGTCACTTATACATGTGTACACCTGAAGTAACTCCACTGACATCAGTGCAATTACTCCGGATTACTCTGGTGTTACTGAGAGTAGAATCTGGACCAAAAGCTCTGCTCATAAATATATGAAGCCCTGTTTGAATTGCGCTTTTTTTTTTTTAACCTTTAGGTATCTTTGTCCACATCATGGGTGAAATCCTGACCGCACCAAAGTCAACGGGAGTTTTGCCAATGATTTCAGTGGGACAGGATTTCATCCCAGTGCTAAGCCATGGCTCATGTACTAGGCATGTATGAAAGGGTTTTATGGGGAATTCTGTCCTGAAGGGATAACACTAGAGTGGCTGATCCCATATTTTTGGTGCTCCCCTCTGTGTTGGGCCATGGCATCACTTCACCCCTTCCCCATTCCCTTTGGGGAGCTCTACTTCCAACAGGAATTTTGAGTTTGGCCCCTGTGCAATGAAGTGGGAAAGGATCTTCTACTCCACACTCCTAGGAAATCATAATTTAGTCCATATTAGGCACTATATTTTACCCTTCTTGCTAAATAGTTTTAACCTTTTAAAAAATGTTCTGCATCACCACATAAGTTCTACAACGGAAGGACACCAAACAATTTGCAATTATGCAGTCTCTTTGTGCAGTCTATTGGAAAATATTTTGTAATCTGACCTATATTTCATAGCTAACTATAATTTATGCAAAATGCCCCTTGACATCTACACATTACACTAACATAAAGCATATTTGGCCAACATCTGCTTTTATTTACACCAGTACAAATCTGGAGTAATTCTAGTGACATCAGTAGAGATACTAAGGATTTGCAGTAAGATAACTGAAGGCAACTTTTGAAAGCAACATCTGACCCTCTGTCATTGACTTACACAAACAAAATGTCTTTGGGGCACATCCTGCACATCAGCCAGTACCTCCAGTGAACAGGAGTTGCAGCTGCTTGGCTCATCTAAGAATCTGGCTCTTTACAAATACAAATTATGGCCTTCATCTTGCAATGTGATGTGCGGGTGGACTCAGGCACTGCACAGAGCCTGAGTTAGGGCCTACCTGAATCACACTGCAGGATCAGGACCATGCTCAAATGCTAGTTAGAATTAATTGCTTGCATGAAAACATTTTAAAAAAAGGTCTTTGGGGAGTTTTACGATCCTTGAAGATTATAAACCCTGAGGTCCTTACTCAGTCTCTACTCTGCCCTTACTCAGGCAAAACTTTCATTTTAGTAGAATCTGGATGTGGACTGAAATATATGGCTCAAGTGCATCTCTAGATTCATGAGATGAGTCATAACTGAGTTTTGTCTGAGTAAGAGCTGAGTAAAAACAAAGCAGAACCTCAGAATTAGATCCAGAGAAAAAATAATATTTATAGGGCCAGATATTCAGTTGATGTAAATCAGCTTGAAGTCAATGAATCTACAGTGATTTATACCAGCTGAGGACCTGGCCAGTAGAATACATGCAGCAGAGTACCAAATTGGAATTTTCACTAGGATGTAATTCTTAATGCAACGTAGCTTCACTTTATGTGCATGCTGTGTAAATCTCTTTTTTTTAATTGTTTAGAATTATTTTCTATACCAATTAGAGAAAGAGTCAGTTACATGGTAAGAAAGTGCTGAGATAAACATTATAGCTTGCTAAATTGCACATAAAAGGCCAGATTATGTTAAAAGTCGTCAAGTCCTCTAGTCATAAAGCTCAATTCAGTTACTTTAAAGAAATACTTCTGTTGAACCATGTTAGTGAAGAATGGATGACAGAGAAAAGTAATTTTCATACTGTAACTGATTTCTGCCAACAACAATGTACAGTAAAGGAAGTGAATTAGATTTCTATCAGGAAATATTCACACTCGTGGCTCAAGGGGCTGTAGGCTGATATTAAAATGACATTAAGGCATAATGGGCCACACTTTGCTATCGTTTGTATGTCAAGGTCTCGCTGAGGTAAATAATCATTTGCATTTATTCATCCACAGATTTCAAAGTACTTTACCGAGATGGATAAGCACTATGGTTCCCATTTTGCATATGGGGTAGCCAAAACAAATTATTTGAGATCTCCATCTTGCAAAGTGCCGAGTGTCTCCCGACCCCTGAAGAATGCTCTGTTCAGTGGGAGATGAGAGCAGTCAAGTAGGCACTCAGCAGACAGTAAATGGGCTTGCGCTTTTGACAAAATGTTATAGCATTACAACATGACTGTGTAGAGTTAGCTGACAAGATGCACATCATGACTGATGGGTCATTCCAGATAAAAACATATAGTGTTCAGCATTACATCAGTTACTTGTAATTAAACCGAAGGCCAAATGGTCAGTCATTGGCAGAGAATGGAAACCAGGTTTCCTGACTCTTAGCCCCATCCTCAATCCACTATGCCACAGATGACCCACACTGTGAGTTCTGCTGAAAAACTGATGGCATGATATGACCCAGAGATTACACATGGTTATGGGCACTATGCTTAGGCTAAGGTCTGACTGGTAAACTACTGGCTTAAAATGCCATTTTACAAAACATGTCACAGGTTAACGTGCAAAGACCTATATAATTGTGAGTGTCAAATTTATACATGGATTCTACATTTCCGCTTCAAGGTATTTCAAGTATTAAAGTGAAAAGTGGTCTTTGGCTGGAAATGGTTAAAAATTATTTTCTAAAAATAATAATAAATAAAAATAATAATTATTTTAAATAATTTTTAAAATAATTTTTTAAATTAAACCCACTGTCCTAGGAATCTATTTTCCACAATAGTTTTGTTTACATAAAAGAGAATTGGCCTGATTCTTCTCCCATTTACATCACTGTAAGGCCAGATCCAAAAGCCCACTGAGACTTAGTGGGAACCTTTCCATTGACTTCAATAGGCTTTGGATTAGGTGTTCGATGAGAAGTAAATTCTACTGATGTTAGTGGAGTTACTCCAGTACGAGTGTACAATCAGGCCCTCCAGGGAGTTCACCAATGTAAATCGGAGGAAAATGAGGCCTTATGTGTTTCTCCAGACTCCATCAACAAGGGTTTTCTGTCATCTGCCCACTAAGTCTAAACAATATATGTGAAACGGATAATGACAGGATGGTGTTAGAGAAGCAATGTGATCAATAAGCAGTGGCCGTGCAAATGAGAAAAAAAGTGTGTGGAACTCTGGAGCCAAAATGGAAGGAAAAAAAGTTTTTTGTACTCAAACAACATTTTAAATTTCCTGCTGTTTGCCTTAACTTAATTAGAGAAGAGGTGTTAGTTATAGATTAGAAAAAACACATATAGGCAAAAAAAATTAATTTGTGACCTTGATGCTTTGACAATTTTGGCTCACGCATGCAAACATTCTTTTCTCAGAAGACAGCAAGTGAAATTCATGCAGTTTCAGACAAAAGATTTCTGAACTAGGCACTTTCCCCTTCCCACTAGATAATACTGTGAAGCATCTCAGCCACTAGCTTGAAAACAGGAACCATGTCGTTTTATTTTTCTTTAAATCCTGCTCCTCATGAGAAACTAAACATGCCTTTGATGACTGATTGAATATAGTCGACCTCATCTACTGTGAGCATCACCGACTGGTTTTCCAAAGAGGACACCCTTAGGTAGGAAAGAAAAGAGACAAAAATGATGTACTGTGCGTGTGCTGTTCAGAAGTCTGTTGCAAACGTGTTTCTACGAAGCTCCACAAAGAAACAGAAAGAAAGTCACCCCAAATTTAAACGTGCACAGAAGAGTTGAGGAGAAAGGCAGCTATTACAGCCTTTAAAAAGCCAGATTATTACTGAGTTGAACTCAGCAGGCCATAGAAACAGAGAGAGAAATACAGAGCATCACATAGTACTAATGGTGGTGGCATGCAGACACCAAAATTGTCAATATTTGCAACCTGCATAATACCTTTGGTTGAATTGCTCCAACGGTTACCTTCAGAATAATGGGATAAAGTCAATAGATTGACGCATGAACCACCTGCACCGGATCCAAAAACAGTTATTCTTAATGGGTCACCACCAAAGAACCCAATATTTTCACTAGTCCATCGCAAAGCCTGGATTAGATCAAGGAGGCCATAGTTTCCTTTTGCTGCTTGATCCCCAGTACTCAAGAAACCTGCAAATGTAAAGGAACAAGAGAAAAGGTTTAGCATACGCTCCTCAGATTACGCTTGTTGCTCTGTTATCTTCTCAGTAATGTTTCAAATGTAAATGGAGCTAAGTACTCTGTAAATACATCATTTTTTATATCCACTTGGCAATAATTTACAAGTGACTCATCCTCGCTACAGTAAATCCTTTGCTGTTCATTGTAATATTAACAATGATAAATGAATGTGAGAATTGTATAGGTACAATACAGGATAATATGCTCATTGCAGAATGAGACTGGAAATAAGTCAGTAAGGACCTATGGCTTTAATAGTAATACATTGAGAGTAAAATCTTTGGGGAAGGGACCATGTTTTTCTGTATGTGAGCAGTTCCTTTCTCATTGTGGGCACTATTGGAATGCAACTAACAAAAAATAATAACACAAATTTGAATAGAACACCACAACATTTGTAAGGTCAAATGTTTAGCTTCTGACTGTGTGTGTTAAAAGGATTATGTCTGAAAAACTTGGTGCATGCCCGTTTTGCAGCAATTTATGTAAGCATAGGAGTCAGCTGGGACCCAATCTGCATATGCAGATGTGTGTTTGGTGCATGCCAGAGGGGTGACTGCTCAATTTTGCAATCCATTGATTGTGGTGTAGGTACTCCCTGTATTACCACATTGCCTCCTTTTTTCCTCTTTTCTCTCCCATTCGCTTTACTCCCAAAAAGATTCAATTTATGTCAGAGGACAGACAGAGCTGTACAACCTGAGTGACTCTCCTACTCCCTGAGCTCCAACCCACGTCCACTAACCTGGGTTAACTGAGTCTGCATTAAAGGAAACACAAGGCAATTTGAGCTTCTCTAGTAACCCCCTAGCATTAAATAGATAGGAGCTTAGATGTAAACCAGGGAGCACATAACTTGTTTCCTCATAGTCATTTGGGAATTGTATCAGGTGGAGAAAGAATGCTTTTCCTGTAGTCAGCACAGGAATTTCGGTTTTTTGTTTATTAAAGACTTGTGATTGTTACCATTAGGCAGCGGACTCTAAAAGCTGAACAATAAACACATCCGAGAAAAGATCCTATTCGTTTTTATCTTGGACCCCATGGGTCCCGTTGGTCTCATGCACAGCTTATAAAGTCTTTTGAGCAAAGGTTTAAATAATATCAGCATTTTAAGGAAAACCAAAAGCCTCCATTTGTGTATGAAACTGATTTCACGCACACAAAATGGACAATGTAACAGCCTTTCAATGAGGGCCCTGTAGAGAAGTACCACCATTAAAGCAATTATCTCCACATGAACTACATATTAGTGGGTCCTCTGTTCTACTTAAAGTTACACTAATTTAACTCTCCTTTGATGCAGAGATCACCATGCTAAACAAAAAAGTTTACAGTACTTTTCCAGAAGAAAGCATACAACATTCTCTAACAACCTCATCACTCACACTGTCACATCAACAGCAATACATGCAGCTCTTAAGACTTAAATTCAGAATAATAACTGTGTATTATATTGATGGGGAAGGAAGAAAAAAGATTCCTTATTTATTACAGCTAGCTACTATGTCCTTTTAAAAATATCCCTTTTGTTACCCAAAATACCAGGGCTTAAACAGGGAGAAGCTGAGTTTATGGACTCTGTTACATAGATAGAGAGAGATGACCATTGACTCTAGAAGTCAACAGGAGAGTGACTGCAGAAATACAGAACACAATGTGTAGTAAAAGCCAACAGAGGAGGATCAGGCTTTACTGTAATTGATGCACCTTTCCAGTGAGAAATGGATACAATGCAAGAGAAGAAAGGTTTCAGAATATTTCTTCTCTTAATGCATAGCAACATTAAGGCCATGATTTCAAGCTTTGTAATAAAGGACTTGATTCCACACCCGCTGAAGTCAATTAAAAGACTCCTACTGACTTCACCGGCATTGGAACAGGTCCAGAGTTAGGCACCTAAATACAAGTGTTCTGATGTACAGAGAGGCTGAGCACATTCAACTCTGAAAGAAGTAATTTTGAGCTGGGATGTCCACACTCTCCGAAAAACAGGTCACTTTTTTTTTTTTTTTTTTTACAATGTGCCAAATTTTAGGCACCCAAGTGTGAACTCTTAATCCTGAAGGTTGTGACAAGATATTTAATTCAGAGTTGTACAATCATGTGGCTTCTACTGAACAAGAACTTAGATAAATTTTGACCAAAATACTGATATTCATCTGCAGCCAAATAACAGTTGCCCAGCATGGGTTGGGGGAAGAGATGACAAGATAAGAAGGCTCCATTCCACCTTCTAGTTCCCCCATACCCTTTTGGACATTCAGCTACTGCTCCTCTTCCCTTTATGCTTAATTCCCTATTGGCAGCCTTTCCCTTTCAACAGGCCCTTACCCCTTTTTTTTCATTCTTTCACTTCTATTCCTCTATCACTCGCCTTCCCAATATCAAATCCCCTTCTTCTCAGGCAGAAAGTCAGTAACTGCAGTTCTTGCGATGTGAATAACACATTGGTCAGTAGTCCCCATGCACTTTATCCACAGAAGATGTGAATGTGTTACAGCCCCAAGCTACGGAATGTGCTTCTCGACTCAAGCTGGCGAGCTTCATGCTTTTAGCTCTTCTGCTCCCCAGTTCAATCCCCAGTGCTGGCTGGGGGTGGCTACGGAACTTGGACCATCCCTTAGTCTGTTCTTAAACTTTGTTTAAGAGAGACAGATATGAATCTGAGCTTGCAGATGTAGATCTTCACCTGCTAGACCAATAGTAAAAGCAGAAGCACAATCAGATTAAATTATATATTTATATATATATATATATATATATATATATATATATATATATAACCTTTCTAGAGGACAGCAGTCCACTATTTTTTATTACTATAATTATTAGTATGCAAAAGAAGCCAAACTTTCATTTAAAACAAGTAACACTGTTTAGACTAGATTTCATTACACATTTAATTCTTATTGGGCTGGGTGAAATTTTCAGACAGCTCGTGATGGTCAAATGGAGATGTCCTATTTGTCCAGCCTTTTTCATAATGTGGGATGACAACAGCAAGTTATGTATAATATAATAGGAAAAGAAGTACTAGACTAATTTCTGCGCACAGTTACACCACAGTAAGTCCAGAGTCACTCCAATGACTTAACGACTGGTGAGTGAGGGCAGACTTTGGTCCACTGTACCTGATATGTTCTGTTTTGTCAGATTATGCCTAATCACTGTTACTAGTTAAAAAAGAAAAGGAGTACTTGTGGCACCTTAGAGACTAACCAATTTATTTGAGCAGCTACAGCTATAGCTTAATAATAATAGCTTAATAATAATAATAGCTTAGATAAGCTATTACCAGCAGGACAGTGGGGTGGGAGGAGGTATTGTTTCATATTCTCTGTGTGTATATAAAGTCTGCTGCAGTTTCCACGGTATGCATCCGATGAAGTGAGCTGTAGCTCACGAAAGCTCATGCTCAAATAAATTGGTTAGTCTCTAAGGTGCCACAAGTACTCCTTTTCTTTTTGCGAATACAGACTAACACGGCTGTTACTCTGAAACCTGTTACTAGTTAGTATTACTAAAATTCTACAGTAATAAACAAATATTTATAATACACATGACTATTGTTCATTGCTCTAGTCTTCTATTTTGACTTCAGATGAATAGCACTAATTTAGTGTTCAGTCAAATGCTCTCACATTCATTCTAACAGACCTTCCCCAACTGTAAACTACATGGAAAGCTAATAGGCCTTGCTGCAGAGAGATCTGAGCTATGCTACATTTAGAGGTGCATTTGTTTGTTTTAGGTCAGTGCTGAGCTTTATTGCCCAGGGAAGGAACAGGCTAGAGATATAAAATGCTAGGCCAGCAGTTCTCCAGTGTTAAGACCTTATATACAACATCTAATTGGCATATTTTGTTCAATTTAGTTACACCGGATTCCTAGTCTCAGATTAAATTCTTTTATTAAAGCTAATGTTAAAAAAATTATATAATACATAGGTTGAGAAAAGAGTGTTTCTACATCTGGGTATAGTGCTTAGATTATCCATAAATACAAAGTTTGTTTTAAAAAGTCATATGATACATATAGTACATAATCAGCAATAACCCAAATTTAGGTGAATAAATTTAACAATATAGTTTAGATATTAGAGTCTAAGTACTCGGGTACATCACTCATGAAAAGTTGTACAGAGAGTTGGTTGTGGAAAGCAAAATATATCAATGAGTAAAGATTGTCCCTCAGTAATTGAGCATTTCGGGTAAGTTGTCCATTTAGAAAATACAATCCATGAGGAAAGTATTTCGGTTACTTTCCTGACTGCGCTTCTCATTGGCAGTCTAGCTTAACCATCTGATGACGTCCGACACCATGAGTTGCTGCAGCCGAGCATAGCACTGACCGATTCCGCATTCTCTCAACACTCACTCGTAACTGGGGTCCCATGCGCCCAAGGCTCTGACAATCAGCGCGTGTGTCTGAACCTGGTAACCCTTAGCTCTCAAGGTTTTGGCAAGAGGGGAGTATTTCTCCTCCTTTTGAGCTTGGGCATTGTGGAAAGCCAGGGTCCTATTCTCGAAGGGCACTGTGACATCCACCATGATGATCTTCTTCTGGTCCTTGTTGGTGATGACGCTGTCCAATCGCAGTTGGCTGTTGGTTCCGGGGATGGTGGAGTTCACGGCAACCTTCCCTATGGGTGCCAGGATGGCTCTGACCAGGCGATCTTGGATGGCATTGTGTTGCAGCTGCCAGGCTCTGGAATGGGGCTTGCAGCTACACAGGCAGCATATCCTTAATATTAACAGAATATTTTACTAATGGAGAAGGGATAAAGCAACTAGCAAACTAGGAATCACAATACTGAAAAAGTAGAAAGAGTCCATAAAACATAAAATGAATTTAAAAAGTCTTCCTCCACAATCAGGTGTCTGCAACACATATCAGGTTCCAGATCTTATAAACAAGGCTTCTGAAAATGTTGCTCGAACTTATTT